AATCTATGTTTCTTGGCACAGGTCTGTTACACTGTTCATTCATCCACACCATCACCTCTTTGATGGTTTGAGGTTCACAACTATCTAGCCTAGCAGGCTGTTTTGCCGCATAAGATAAGTGTAACATTGAACAAGGACTTTTCCTATTTATTTAACTTGTTTATTGTGTCTGTAATCCTTTGACAAAACTACTCTGGGGAGAAAAAAATTCCCGAAGCATGGCTCATTGCATTGGGAATGCATGCTCTACAGTAGTACTATCCTTTGTTTACATGTCACACTCAACACTGTCCGACTCAATGTGTGTTGATTGACCTCAGCGTGTGTTTTCAAGAACTTCACATGGGACTAATGCGGTGTTGAGTGTCCCATGACTAACACAGTATTATTCTCTCCTTCAACAGGCCGCTTCATGAAAGACCAGCAGATGCTTCCTGGAGGAAATGTCAATGAATGGCAGGAAGTGAGGTTGCAGGAGCACTTGATTCTGTTACAAATCTGAAATGGCAGAGAGGTGGGGAATAAGGACAGGAAATGGAATTATGGGTAACAGGAAAACCAGTATGCGAAGACAGAGCAAAAAACAAGAAGTTGAAATAAAGGTGGAAGACAATACAGGTGTTTTGGAGAGCTCTGCTGTTTTGTGAGCCAACAATTAACAATCAAACCAACTTTTTAAAAATAATTATTCCGTTGCTTTTTTAAGTGAATATTTTTACTGGCTATTCCTCCTAGCAACAACCTACAGTATAAAAAAAAACTAGCAACGCCTAACAACAGCATAGCAATGAGCATCAGACCAAAGGCAAAAATGAGTAAAGACATTTTGAGTCATTACAATCACTTGTCATGTGACATAATTGCTTATTACCTTTGACCCATACATTTGACCAAAATGTCAAATCGTTTTTGAGATACAGCTTTAGATGCAGTTTGGCATTATGCCAGTTTTGTGAATCGACACTAAATCCATAATTATTTTCCAACATGGACTGAAAATCATCTATTATAATCAGTTTCATTATAATAGACATGGTGCATGAGATCAGTCTCATGATTTTTGTTCAAAACTGTTAAAAAAACATTAAAAAAAAACATTTTTTATGTCTTCTGACCACTAAGTGGCACTGTGGCGAAATTGTGCAGATACCCTTATGCCATAGTAGTTGTCATAACATGCACCATGATTGGTCAGAATATACGTTGCAAAGATATAGACCTTATGCACCAGAGAAACGTGGGCGTCATCATCTTTAGAATATTGTCTTTGAACTTCCGTTTTTGCGGTCGCTCTGTAGGCTATATTTCTATGGCATCGCTGTCGAGGAGCTAGTTAAGTGGATTAACTTATTGCAGAGTTAACAAAAGTTATCATGAGCATTGTAATGTTTATCATAAGCATTGTAAAGCAGATGTCTTAACAAATGTCGACCGGGAATTTTTTTCATTCATACCTCTGCAAGATCGCTGTCAAAATACAGACCGTAAGTCAAAAGACAACGAGTGCAACGCTGAAAAGGGACGTGGCTACATAAGGTCTATAGCCTCATGTCTATTTGGCGTTTAATTCGTTTGAGTGTTATTCGAAAACAGTTTGATGAATCAACTTGAATTCCATGTTTTGTTTTGTTTTTTTGGGAGCAGCATGGTCTGAAGATGATCCAATTACATTTTTGTGGAAATTGGAACAACGATTTTGGAAGGGTTGGCAAAAGTAGTTTTTTAAAAGAAAAACTCAATAGCGGACAAAAGTTCGCTAGAGTTCAGCTAGAGTAAAGTTCGTAAGTTCAGCCGACTATGCCAAAATTAGAATACAGTATGTTCTCAGAAAATATATCAAGACCAGTTTCAGTAAGTTTTTTTTTTTCATTACCCAAAACAAAAATGATCGGTATAACAGTAATTCGATAGTCCACTTTAGACTTCCTACTAACTATAAGTAACTTTGCAACTACATGTCAACTAACTCTCATTAGAGTATTAGTAGACTGTCAGCTTAATACCTGCTAACATTTTATTTTGATGTTCCCCAACAGACACTGACTGTAAGTAACTTGGCAACTACAAGTCAACTTATTCTACTAACTCCTAACCATAACCTAACATTACTACAGTCTACTACTCTAATGATAGTTAGTTAGACATGTAGTTGCAAAGTTACTTATAGTTTGTAGAATGTCTAAAGTGGACTATCGAAATAAAGTGGAACCCGAAAGGGTTTTGAGTATCAGGTAATCTGGCCGAAGACACATATCTATTTCTGTAATGATACCCTAATGCGTTCGTAAAAAAATATAGCATTTTACGTCAAAGTTCAAAATGGCCGACGCTCAAATTGGCCAAACTTGGAAAAATTTGATATCGTCTAACTAGGTAAATAGGCCTGCCACCTCAAAGAGACCAGTTTTGTAATTTTCTGTCAAATTGGCAAGACTTTATAAGCAAAAACTAAATTTTTCATATCTCCTGACCACTAGTAGGCACAGTGGCAAAAGGTACTGCATGTACCCTCAAGTCATGCTTGTGATAACACGTGTCAAGTTTGTTCTGAATACGCTGAAGCATTGCGGCCATACTGACTCACATCCATTTTGGAATGCTCTACGTCCAATTCGTTCACACATTATTTGATAACGGTTTGACAAAACAACTACATGTTTTTTTTGTCGCTAACTTTTACATTTTTGTGAAAATCGGATGTTCAAGGGGGAGTTGGAAAAAGCATGTTTTTTTTTTGTTGTTTTTTTTTCATAAAATTCAAAATGGTGGTATATTTTTCATGCCAGTTGGTGGACTAGAGGGATTGAGAATCCA